CACCTCTCGTCTCCTTGCCGACCTCGTCCGCCGGCAGCAGCGCCGCAATGGCGACCAGGGCCTCGGCCGCAGCGTCGATGAGCTGCGCAGATCCGCCGCCGGCCAGCTCCTGGCCGCCGCCCGCCGTCAGCATCGCGCTCAGGAGCGGGACGCACGTCTCGACCACGACGGCGTGCGCGCTCGTCTCCTCGCCCTCCACTTCGGCGCTCTCCTCCGGGGCCTTCATCAGGACAGCGCAGAGCGGCACCAGCTGCTCAGCTAGCGCCTGCCGCACGCTCAGCTCGGCGTCGCAGCTGACGTCCTTGAGGAGCGGGACCAGCTCGGACAGCGCCGCCGCGGGCCCGATCTCCTCCGCGCAGGCGCCCAGCTCCTGCACATGCACGAGCCTCTGCACCGCGACCGCGGACTGACTGTAGTATTTGACGCGCTCGAGCAGGCTGAGCGACTCGTCGATCTCGAGGACGGAGGTGTAGCCGTCCTCCTCGCCCGGATTCATGGCCATCGGCCGTACGCGCAGGTGTACCTGGTGAGTCCAAAATTGCGCTCGAGCACGTGCAGGTGCGTGTGATAGGGGGAGGTGAAGGCTTGGCGGGCTGGCGGGCCGCGGAGCCCGCGTGAACGCGCGCTCGAGGGGAAGCGGGGCGGGAAGCGCGGTGGTCAGGGCGCCTTTGCACGCAGCAGCTGTTCGGGCGTCGCTGGCGTGTGCGAAAAAAAATTCGAAGGCGCGATAGCGCCTGCTCGCGCTGCTAAGAGGCAGACTCCCTAGGGTGGGCGACGGATAGCGCACCACACACCTCTCCTTAAAATCCCTGTGTGGTGGCGGCGTGCCGTCCTCCCATCCCTCCCTTGGGTTGTCTGTGTTCTTTCTTTCTTTTTTCGCGCTGCGACGCGGCCTGTTTCTCGCTCGGTTATGAGCTTTGAGACTGTGTGTGCGATTTCGGTCCCATGGGTTCTTGTTGAGTATATGAGCGACCCAGCTCGAGGGTTGCTCTCGACTCTGGCCTTTTCGGGTCACGTAGCCACACCTCGCCTCCTCGGTGCGAGTGGCTGCCAGTTCGACTCTGGGGAGGATCGAACCATCAACATGGTACCTCCGGTGAGATCTCCCAGGTCGACGGCGGTCTGCGAAGATTTGAGTCCCTTCGTGTGTGAGCTACGAAAAAGATCGAAAATAGTGCCCAAGGTAACCCGGGGGAACTCGCGTCCCGGAACGCCTGCCCTACCTCGAAACACGGCGGTATCGGATACAGCAGCAACCTCGTGCTGCGTCGTGGGGGCGTGTTGAGTATATGAGCGACCCAGCTCGAGGGTTGCTCTCGACTCTGGCCTTTTCGGGTCACGTAGCCACACCTCGCCTCCTCGGTGCGAGTGGCTGCCAGTTCGACTCTGGGGAGGATCGAACCATTAACAGTTCTGCTTTCCGTGAACAGCGTGTCCAGCGCTGACTTCTGGCTGTCGTTGCTGTCTCTCCCTTCTTGAGACTGTCTGTGCTTGTGCGTCTTGGGTCCGGGGTTGTGCGTTAGGATGTGAACAGCGTGCGTCTTGGGTCGGTGGTTGTGTTTTGTGTGAACTCATTCATGACCGGTCTCAATGCCCCACCCCCCTGCGCGCGGGCCTTCTAAGCCCGCGGGTAGTCCCCCCCCATCCCCAGGGCCTCCAGGGCTCGCACCTCAACCTCTCACAGGCCAGCGCACAGCGCCATAGGACGTATTTCTTCTCAATAACAAG